AAGTGGAATCACACGGTGCTTGTCTTTTTGTGTCGGGCTTATTTCACTTAGCATAATGTTCTCAAAGTTTATCCGTGTAGTAGCCTGTGTCAGAATGTCCTTCCTTTTTAAGGCTGAGTGATGTTCCCTTGTGTGTATGTGTTTATCCACTCTCCACTGATGCACACTTGGCTGCTTCCACCTTTTACCTATTCTGAATAATGCTGTGGCAGATGCAGGTATACAAATATCTCTTTAAGACCCTGCTTTTCATTCTTTTGGGTATATACCCAGAAGTAGAATTGCTGGGTTATATGATAATCCTATTTCTTTTCTGAAGAACCGCCATACCGTTTTCCGTAACGGCTATGCCAGTTTACCTTCCCACCAACAGTACGCAAGGGTTCCGATTTCTCCACACGCTTGCCAACACTTGTTATCTTCTGTGGTTTGTTTTTGGTTTTGTTTCTGTTTTTGCTTTGACAGTAGCCATCCTAATGGGTGTGAGGTAGTATCTCATTAGGGTTTTGATTTGCATTTGTCTAATGCTTAGTGTCTTTTTATTTTATACTAAATCTTTGAAAACCTATGTGTATTTTTTACACTTCCATCCCATCTCAGTTTGGACTGGCCACATTTCCAGTGCTTAAAACCTGGCTCCTATATTGGAAAATGTGAGTCTGGAGGGGACAGTTGGAGGCAGTGGGTACAAGCAGAGGGGATTCAGGCAGGTCTGGAGTGTAAGGAAAAACATTACAATCACCTGAGCTGCCTGAGGAAGGGCTAGGCATCTGGGGCGTTCCTGATCCTAGCAGGAAAGGATACAAGGAGGGGATTGCTGTGGTGGCCTTTGGAGGAATCTGTGGTTCGTGGTTGTTGCTCTTGAATGGCTGTGTGAGTGGTGGCAGTTGGTGCCTTTAGACTCCCTGTGCCACCGACTTCTGCAAACACTGTGTTTTGAACTCTCCATCCTAAAGTGCCACTGATCTGTTTGTCATCACACATGGGATAGGAGTGTGGCTATAGTCAAAGAGTGGGAGGCTGGGCTCCGGGGTTGCTGCCAGCTTCCTTCCCAGCACTTTGCCTCGACCCTTCCCTGCCCTGCAGCATCCCCCTGGAGCCTGTCTAATCAGATCCAGGCCTGACCTTGCCAGAGGTCCTGGACCAGGAGGAAAGTCCTCCCTCCCCTCCCTGAGCTGCTCTAGATCTGGCTCTCAGGAGACCCACCCCCCTCTTGGGTAATTTATAGGGGGTGTCCAGGAGCCATTTCCTGCCTATTCCTGCTCCCTTTCAGCCCGGGTGGATTGCTGGGCTCTCTCTGCCCATCTTTCCCCATTGTCTGGCTGTACCCATGATGGGGGCAGGGAGGAACTGGGAGAGTCCCTCCCAGACTGCTTGGGGACAAAGGTGCTTTTTCCACAAAGTCCCCCAAACAGGCCTTTGTCTTCCCTGTCACTCTCTCCAGCCCTCACACTGAAAGGGCCCTCCAACCACTGCCCTGTACTCCCTCCCATTACCAGCTGGCAGTGAGGGACCCAAAACTATCCCTCTGTAACCAAAAGCATCAACAGCCACAAGTTACAGCACCACTTTCACGTACACCAGCCACAGGCACAATACTGCCGACACCCGCCACACACAGTGTCTCCAGCTACAACAGTAGCCTGTGTATTCCATTACTAATCACCCAGTGGCCCCAGGAGGACTTGTTCAGGGCTCCGTATGCTCCGAGGTCCAGTCCCCAAGCCCATATGCCTATGGTTGCCCAGAGAGACATGATGAAGGACATCTTCCCTCTGGCTCCGTGGCCTGTTGGCATAAGCCAGGACAAAAACAAACTTGTGAGCCAAACCTGTCTCACCCTGAGAGACTAGAGGAGGCCTAAGTGGCCCCTAGAAACTTTCTCTCACTTCTTAAAAAACATGTTGCCTGTGAACTAGGAGTGAATGGAAGATTGTGCATGTGAACAAGGGCCTCTTTATGAAGGCAGCGGGAGTCAGAGCTGGAAGGGCCCTGAGAAGTACCTGTTCCCCTTGATGGATGAGCAGACTGGTGCTCGGACACTGTCTACCCAGGGTCTCAAGGCAACCCTCTTGGACGTCTAAGGAATCCATAGGGCTGACCAGACCAAAGGGCTGGGTAGGAGTGAGGAAGGGGAGGCAAGAAGGAACCTCAGGAAGGGGTGCCTAGGTGTTTCCGTCGGTTAAGTGGTTGACTCTGGCTTTTAGCTCAGGTCATGATCTCATGGTTTGTGAGTTCGAGCCTCTGGTCAGGCTCTGAGTCTGCTTGGGGTTTTTCTCTTCTCTCTCTGCCCCT